ATACCCTTATTCACATAATTTACATTTTGCTTCTTAACATATTTCACAATGATTTGGACATAGAAATTAACAATTATGACATCCGTCTAATTAATTATCATTTAAATCATCACAATCTTCTTAATGAACTATAATTCCATCGCCACAAATAGGATAACATTAATAATCAAATTCATAATATCCATATTCACATTAATCATAACATATACCTTTAATACATAATTTACAATATTATCTACATTAATAATTACAATTATAACAACCATCATATGGTATTTGATTCATATCATCACATTATTCATATCCAATAGTAATTAATCCATCTCCACAAATAGGAATACAATATTAATCAATTAATGTAAATGTATATTCACAATTATAACAATATCCATAAATACATATATTACAATAATGACAACATTCAATTTTACATTAATAACATCCATCAAATTAATCATAATTAGAATCTTCACATTCTTCATTTGATATTAAAGCAATTAAATTATCTCCACATTAAGATTCACAAATAAATTAATCAGTTAAATACCAACCATAAATACAATCTAAACATATTCCTCTTTAACAATATGAACATTCTTTTTAACAATCATTTCTACAATTATTACATCCATCAAATCTAATTGAATTCATATCATCACATTCTTCTAAACCTTAAATTGAATTATTTCCACAAATAGATTCACATTAATAATTTATTAATTTCCATCCTTATATACAATCATAACATTTTCCAAATTAACAATTTATACATTAATGTTAACAATTAAATTCACATTAATTACATCCAAATGATTATTTAATATATTAATTAATATCACATTATTCATCTCCATTAATAATAAGATCTCCACAAATAGGAATACAAATATATTATGTATTATCTAATATCCATCCATTTAAACATTCAAAACAAATACCATCAATACAATTTGAACATCCTTCAACACAAGAATATTAACAATTAAAACATCCATCAAAAGCATAAATATTACCATCATCACATTATTCATTTTATTCTAATACTCCATTTCCACAATTTTCTAAAATTCTTGAGAATATTTGAAAATCTCTTAAGCCAAATGATTCAGTAGTTGGAAGTTCATTTAAATTAGTCGTAAAATCAAATCTTATTATTGGATTTGAATGATCTATTTTTACTTCAAAGTTTGGAAAGTAATCATCATTTGTCAATCCGCAAATGTCTACTAAATCCCCTAAATAAAAAAAATGCTGATGAGAAAAAACTAAATTTCCATCTATGTAAAGATAAAAGTATTCATTATCCCAAGTATCTATGAAAGCTATACGAAATCTAATGATAAGTTATTAATGATTAGATAAATTTAATGTTTTAGAGATTCTACTATTATATCCACATTTTTCAAAACCACAAATTAAAGGTATGCCTATTAATATCTTAATTTTTATATGGTTTGATTGAATAAATAAATATTTGTAAATTATATTGTGGAAATGGTATGATTTCATTGGATGAAGAGGAATGTGATGATAATAATAATGAAGATGGAGATGGATGTTCAAGGTTTTGTAAGATTGAAACAGATTATCAATGTAAAAATTATGAATTCAGTTTCTCATAATGTACTTATTCTAAATAACCAAGATTTTATCTTTAATTTAAAGAAGAAAGAGATTAAAAATAATATGTTTCATTGTTATTCACTTAATAAGTTAAGAATAAAATTTAAGATTAATATTCTAAATATATATAAATGAATATTATTGATATGGACATTAATATTTATAAATTGAATTTGATAATAATTTAAGAACCTGTTGATTATCCTACAATTGTTGAATATCTTATAGAAATTTAAATAAATTCTACTTTAAATGATCGTCCTTATTTAGAGGTTACTTTAGATGAATAACTGTATAATTCAGAAGATGCTACTCTTTTTAATTTATATGATAAAATATAATTGAAATAACCTAAGTATATTGATGATTAAAAATAAGAAGCAGCTGCTACTTTAAATCAGGCAAATAAATATTTGATGAATTCTATTGGAGGAATTGGCATATTTGCATTCTTTTTAGGAAATTCATTTATATTTTCAAGTATACTAGAAGTATTACAATAATAATCTTATTTAAGATTTATTAATGTACAATTTCCTTTTAATTTATTTATATATTTTGAATCAAGTAATATAATAACTATATAACCTATTTTAAAATTCTTTAAAGTTGATTCCATTGCAACATTAACATTTGATTCAACATATATAGAATCATATGAAAAGTTGAAATATTATGAAATTAATGCTGATCTTTTAACTAATATTTAAACTTAAGTTTTTCTCATTACAGCATTGATTATCATTTATTATTCTTGTACCTTAATCATTTTTTTGATTGACTCAATTATAATCCAATTTTTATTTCTAATTGGTAAATTAGGATATAAATTACTATTTAAAATAAGAAAATTATGTAGTAATTATTAAAAGGAATTCAGAAAGGAAGGTGTTAAGGCATTTTTAATAGCAAATTGTTGGGATCTTCTTTTTACTTGTTTTTTGTAATTAAAATCTTCACAATATAATACAACAATTAGATCTATAATTTGTTTAATCTTAGCATATTTAATATTATATGGATGTATATTAATACTTAGATAATTTATTTACAAAAATTAATTAATTAAATATAGCTTATTTAATTATTGGATTTCAAAAATGGATCTATTTTTAACATTAAAAAAATTGATATTCATTTTCATTTTAGTATGTTTCTAAAAAAATGAATAAATATAAACAATCTTATTAACATTTGTTTGTAATTTATATCTTAGTTATGCAATTAAATTTAAACCAGTCAAAAATCAATAAGACTTTTGTAATTTAATTATGATGGAAGGAAGTACTTTTATTTTTACCTTAACATCTGCCTTGTATTGGACTTAGATATCAAAAATATTTGTTTATGAGAATTAAGTTTTACTTGGGTGGGTACATATAACATTATTGTTATCTGTGTTAATTGTGAATCTTCTTCTTTAAGTATTTGCTTTATTTTTGTAATTAAAAATGTAAAACTAGAACAAATAAAAAAAATCAAATTAACAGAATGGAGTCCTCCCTCATCCCTATCCATTAGCTAATTTAATGGAATTTAAGTTGTGATTTATAAATTTTTTAAATATTAATATTTTTTTTAATAATTTTAAGCATACTATTAAAAATCATTAATTGGGTTCTTTTTGTTAAATATCTTGAAATGTTTTTTTATTTTTTACTTCTAAAATTATTCCAAAAGCTATCATACGACGGTTATCTACAATTGCTATTCTACCTAATTAAGGATAATCAACATAATTTTCTAATGTTATCTACTTTATTGGTTTAAATTCAATTATTCCAATATCACCAGCCTTTAAAATTTAAGGATTCTCAATAATTTCATTTTAATTTATTACATTTAAGTTTTATTAAATCTTTAAAATGCTGCATTGCATTCTTTTAGTAAAGAAATGTATTGTATAATACTATTTTTGTTTGAGCTAATGTTTAAAGTCTTCCATGATCTTTAACTTTGCCACAAATGATAAACATTCTTAAGCTGGATCATTATCAACATCTGAACAAATATGTCCATTTGAAATCTCTTTGTATGAAAGTTTTAATAAATTAACTCCTATTATTTAATTAGGAGTTCCTTCTTCTAAAAAAAAGTGATTATTTTCAATTGTTTTTACACTTGATTTAAATGGAATTGGAGCAAAGCTTAAAATTTAATTTTTTTTCAATGTGCCATATAATAATTTTCCAAGAGCGATAGTTCCAATTCCAGGAATACGAATACAATCATGCATAACAAATCTTAGAGGCTTGCTTGCTTGAAGTTCTTGATCATCAATTGGAATTTTATCTAAAGCTTCAATTAAGGTTGGACCTTAATACCAATTCATATTTTATTTTTTTGTGTTGATGTTTTCAGCTTCTTTTAAAGATATTGGAATAAATTAAATTTATTATGGATTTATTTCATATTTGGCTAAAAGTTAAGAGAAATCATTCACTACAAATTAATAGCAAGCCTATTGATATTCGACTATATCCATATCATTAATAACACAAATAATGCGCTATTTACCTAAAGCTACACATAATTGAAGTTGTAATTCAAGTGAAGAAGTTAATGTTAAACTTTACATATATTTTTCTTTAACTCCACTCAAAATAAATACTGCTATATCTCCATAAGCAATCCCGATTTACATTTAATTTATGTATTAATACTACCCAGGAATATTGATTAAAAAGTACTCTTTACATGTTGTGTTAACATGATAAGTTGAAAATATTTATGTATGCGATAAATTCTGTTCTGTTCTAATCCTATCCATCAAAAAAGCATATCTAAGATCTGGATTTTTTTAAACATTTAGATGGCACTCTATTCTTTCCAAAACATATGGAGAGGCATAGTTTAATTCTTTAACTATGAGCCCAGCTATTGTTGATTTCCCTTAACCATGAGCTCCTAAGAAAACAACCGATTAATTGCTTAATTTTTATTACATTAATTCTTTACTAAAATAAAAAAAAACAAAAATTGCTTTTATTAACAAATTGTAAAAATATAGAATAATCCTTATTGAAGGAAAAATAATATTTTATTATAAAATACTTTTCAATTTCTCAAATTGATATTGAAAATAAAAATATGAAAAATTTTCAAGAATTGTAAAAAGTAATAAATTTATATTTATTAAAACTTAGTTGTTAAGTTATAAGACATTTACATTTGTTAAAAAAAAAATGATTAATATTTATAATCCAATATAAATATGTGTTTCAAATAATGAAGCAAATGAATTTTTTAATAATATTATTGAATATTTTTATCATCCTAGAATAGATGGCAAACTGAAATGTAAATTTTTAAACTAAAAATAAAAATAAATTAAATAAAATCATAGAATTGAAATGTTAGAAATTTCCCATTTAAGCATGATGAAAATCAAATAAAAGAAGCATTTCAATACAAAATATTCACAAATTAAATTAGATCTTAGAGAATAAATTAAAGATAATGATGTATGATATATATTAAAATATTTAGTTATTATTTCAATCTAAAAAATACATTCAATAAATAAATCAAATAATTTGAAGATTTGAAGCATGAATTAAAACAATTTAAGGAGATTTGAATGGATTTAGTAAATTATTGCATATGTGTAATTTTAAACTCTAATTGTGGAATCATATACATAGTAATTACATATGATGGAATGACTTAAGGAATAAAAATTAGAAGAAATTATAGGGTGAATTTTAAATTCAATAAGGCAACAATTTTATCGTGATACTTAATGTTTAAGATAAATAATATTATATTTCACTAATTAAAATGAAGCTTATATCAAGAGAAATGCAAAAATTAATTAGCTAAAGCCTAAGAAATTAAATAATATTATTACTTTCTAAATTTCCATTTTCCCAATTCTAAACAATTTTTCCTTTCTATACAAAAAATCTTTATATTATCGAAGTATAAATTTATAATTTTTATAATTTATTGCTAACTATTTAAGAAAAAGACTTGCATCTAACTTCCTTTTCAATCACATCTTTTATAAGTAAAATATTATTAGATAAAATATTTTTTTTTTAATTTTAATAAAGTTATATAAAATACAAAAAGATGATTATGAATCTTCAGAAGAAAGATCTAAAATTTTTTGAATTATTCAAATATCATGAAATCATTATCGATGATTCCTAAAGATTATAATAAAGTCTAATAGAAAGAAATGGTTTAATACCTATAGATGGAATGAACTAAGTTTATAAGTTTTATATTCTTCTGAAGTATAATTAAAAATTTAATTAAAGAAATAAAGAATAGATAAATGATAATATGTATATTTTTTATTGTTTAGAAAGTCATAATACTTGAGCAAAAGCTGACGATTTAGATTTCAGCATAATTTACTTTTTGTAAATGAAACATTGATTTTTCTACCCATTACTTCTTTGCCATGAAGTAAAGCTGCTCCATTCAATGCTTCTTCTAATGATGATAGTCTTACTAATGCCATATGTTTTTATCTTAATTTTAAGATTTATTATACTTATCAATATGAATAAATTTGATTGCCTGTACATTTCCTATTCCTCTAAATAATTCCTTAATATAAGATTCTTCTTCACATATTTTACCTTTTATGTTACTTAAATGCAAAGTTTAACTTGGTGGATTAAAAGAGATTGATTTTGTTTCACTAAATCTAAATTAAGATTGTTAGGGCATAAATACTACAGTCTATGGTGATTGAAATGGTAATGGAAATTAAATTTCTTAATAATTTGAATAAAAGATTTTAAGTTTCTAACCAAAAAAGATTTAATTATTCAAATGATCTAAAGCATTTTGTGCATGAGAGAGTTTTTAAAATTAAACTAAGGCTGATGTCTTATGTTTAATATAGATTATCACTAAAACATTACCAAAATTTGACAATAAATTAAAAATGTTTAATGGTGTAATATTTTAATTAATGAGACCTCTTATATAAACTACTTTAGATGGTTAATTCTCTCTAAGAAATTAAGGAGATATATAAGTATATGGATCTATGTCTTGATTTTTTGATTTATCTTCTACTTCAGGAATAGAAAACATGTAGGAATTCAAATATATATTTTTTTCAGATGAAAATGCAAGCATTATATCTTCATCGATTGGATCATTTTCGCTATCATCACATTAAATAGATTAAAAAGAGGAAAATTGGTTGTATTTAGGAGAATCTACATCACCTATAAATTCCAGCGAAGTTTATATTTTTGAAGGTTCCCAATCATTTTTTTATTCTTACAGATCTTATTTATCATTTAAACTAGCTCTTGTTCTTTCATTCCAAAAACTAACAAGGCTTTATTTGATATCTTATTATTGCTAACATATAGTAGGTTGACTAAATGTTTTGGAATGATAGTCTTGCTCATAACTATTCATGGTTTTTGTTGAATTCCTTTATCTGATTGATTTGTAATCTACACCTCCTGAATTATTATTGAGAAATGTGACATTCTGTAATGTAGAAAAATAACTAAAGTCATAGATAATAAATTTACACATTCATGATTGTTTAATCATATAATTGACATCCATTTAATTATTACTAAGAAAACCTTGCTTATTATAAAGTAGCCATCTCAATAAAGCATTTCCATAGTTTGCCCTTTTCAAATATTAGAATTTTATCAACATCTCCAAAATTTGAAAAGTATCTATAGAACAATGAATGTGGAAGTATTATTGATTAAGGGTTCTACACAATCACCAACAATACTTTTGTTTATTCATTTTCAGATATCATTAATAAAAAAATAAAATTATATATTATATCGATTGTTATTTAAAAATATATTTTAAAGATTATAGATCCTTAATCAATATATTATTTATTTAGTAATAATTTATTTATATAATATATTCTATTATATATCTGATTTTGAATGATGTATTTACTATTTAAAACTAAAAGTACTTAGTTATTATTCATTCGAAATAATTAAACCAAAAAATTAATATCAAATGTTATAAAAATATTATAAAACTCAATATGCAAGTCTTAATTAATTCAATCTATGAATCAGCTGGAGATACCAGAATTGAATTAATTAACTTAATGCAAGACGACATCAAGGCAAAGAAGGGAATTGTTCTTGGTGACTTAAGCAGAATATTTATTATGATAAATCAAATGCTCATTGATACAAATAAATAGGTGATCTTAGCTACTCATGGATTATTATCATCTGTATCTCTATTAACTTAATATATTAAGCTAATTGATTATTTATTACCTGCTGAATTAGAAGGAGGTTTAAAACACTTTGAAAATTAGCTTATTCATAATCTGGCTGATAGTGATAGATAGATAAGGAAATCAACTAAATCTATTTTCCTTAAATTTATAGCTAAGACTAGAAACTCAGAATAAGTTTTAGAACTATTAAGTGATTCCTTTAAAAATAAAAATTTTTACATAAGGGAAAGATCTATAAATTTAATTCCGGATATTTTTATAGCAGATAAGTCAATATTTTGCAATAGAACTGGGTAGACTTGTAAATTAATTTAGAATTAATGAAGTGAGAAAAGTTATTGAATCTATAATAATTCATTTAAACGATGTTAATGAATCAGTTAGAAAAGCAAGTAAGAAAGTGATATAGAATCTTAAGAATATAGAGAATTTCGAATTAGTTTATAGAAGATTAGCAGTTTAACATCAAAATGTAGTTGATAAAATACAATAAGAAATGCCGCCAAAGGTTGATAAGTTTATTGAATTGAATTTTAAAATCTAAGAACATAAAGATCCATTGTTTGATTAGTTTGTGCCTTTTGAATTTATAGCAAAAACAAATTTAACAATAGATGATTTTCCTTAAGACTTAAAGACATAATTATATTTTGGCTTTTTGCCAAAGGAAATATTGTAGGATACTTTGAATCAAAAAGATTTAGCTATTAGAGAAAAAGGAATAACAGAATTAAATATGCAATTTTTTGAGGATGAGGGTGAATCATAAAATTATGAGTAAAAAACTGTAGATAAAATAGTAAAGGGAAGCTTTATGCCATCATTTTTCAAATATATATCTTCATTGTTCTTTAGTGAAGATAAGAAAATAATATTGATGATCTTAAATATAATAGGAAAAATTATGTAAGTACCAGGAGTTTAAGTAAATGTTTATTTACCACTTTGTTTGCCAGGATTAGTTTAGTGTCTTAAAGATGAAAGAGTAATAATCAGATAAAAAGCATTATTTTTGTTAAGGAAATTAACAAATTATATTAGCAAGAAATAATATTTTTAAAATTTAATATATTTCTTAGAATAAAAGATGGATAATTGGCATCAAAAAGAAGAACTAATAAATTTAGTTTCTTATTTGATATTGATGATTCATCCAAGTGAATAATGGTTTTATGGAATTGATTGGAAAGAAATGAATATAAAATAAGAAAAATAAATTGAAGAATTATCATTTAATCTAAGAGAAGTTGATTTTAAAAATAGTTTGATTACTATTGCTTCTTATTTAAATGATTCTATAGCTAAAGTTAAGTATGCCTCTTTGGAATGTCTTAGTTTATTAGCATATTTAGATAAGAAACATTTGGAATATTTACATGAAATTCTTAATAATAAAGTCTATGAAAAGTTAAATGATAAAGTAGATAATGGAATTGTATATTTTATAAATGATAATGGCAATTTAGAATTACCTTAATTTAATATCAAAAAATTAGAGGAACAAAAAATATAATCATAAATTAAATTGTCAATGGTTTAATCTATATAAAGTGAACCCAAACCTTAAACTCCAGTAGAATCAGAAAAATCAGAAGAGAGTCGTTATAAAATTACATATTATTATGATAAATTTCAAATGTCTTTAAATGATAAAATCATTAAATCTAATGCTTCAATAGATAGTTTATTTGCTTCAGAACATAAAAATAATCAAGGAACTAAATATGATATGATAATTCCATTAGGATAATTTTAATAAACAAAAGCCAATGAATAATTCAAATTAGTCAATTCTAATTTATATATAGAAAAGGAAAAAGTTGATGATAATCCATATGAAGATGAAATTATGCATTCTGATGAAGATGAATTATAATCTATTGAATTTGAATATCCAACACGTACTCTTAAATATAGAGGCCATGCTCCAGATCAAATTACAAAATCTAAATATTAACCTATTGATGATATAAAGTCAAGAGTATTTCATACAATTAAATAATTAAATGAGGACATCAATGTAGATCTACAAATACCTAAAGTAATTAAGGCTAATGTAGGAGCCTATTCTGGATATAAATATGAAGATGAAGAAGAAGCAGATGATGAAGAAATATTTATTGATACAAAACTAATAAAATAATAGCATAGATAAACATAACCTACATAAGAAGAATCAATAATAAATGATGAAAAAGTAATGAAAGAAAATTATGCAGATAATTAAATAGAATAAGTTTAAGAAATTATAAAGAATTAATAATTAATTTATACACCAGAATAACGATATTAAAAAAGATTAGATGAATTTTTATTATCTTTTGAATAAAGAGATAGTAAAAATAAAGGAAAAAATGCAAGAAAATTAAAGAAGAAACTAAAAGAAATTGCAAAATAAGAAGAATTACCTAAAGTATTTGATATGCCTGTATTTATTGATAATGCTAGAGCAGAAACTGCAGCTTTATTGATAAATTTATCTTCATTAAATTTAGATTTATTAGCAGTGTCTCTACATAAATTTAGAGTTTTACTTTAAAATCATTTATCTGATGTATATGCTTCTTAAGTTCCATTGTTATAAATTGTTAATGATGTATGCAGAATATTATCAACATAAAGTGATAATCCACTTTATGCTATTGATTACTCATAATACAAAAAGAATATACCTCCTTAGATAGTTGTTAGAAAAATAGTTTTTATTGCTCTTTAGACTTTGAGTGTGGCTGTTTAAACATTAAGAAGTACATTAATTTAAGTTTAAAAAATGTTTACTGTTTGTGGAGTTTGGCTTTAGGATGATAATAAATAAATTAGTCAATAAGCTGAGCAAACTATGCTTGACATATTGAGATTTTGTGATGATTCTTAATTGTAGAATATATTACCTAATTTATATAATAAATAATCTTTTAATAGTAAAATATATGTTGGTGTACTTATTGAACATTTAGTAATAAAATATCAAAGAGAAATTTTTAAGTCAGTCCATTTTAATAATATTATCTAATTAATATCTTAGATGGTCATTGATTAATCATTTGATGTTAGAAGAATTGGAAAAAAAGTATTTTTTAAAATTTTAACTCTTGGAAAATATCAAATTGAAGAAATTGTTATGTAAATGCATTAATAAGAAAAGAATTAAATGAAAGAATTAATGTAGAGATATGATGAATTAGTTACTGATCATTAAATTGGAATTTTTGATTAAGAAGAGTATATGGGATTATAGGTAATGCCTTAAAAATTCAATTTTGAATATGAAATGATAGATGACTAAATATTTATGAAATGATACTGAATTATAATATTTATATTTATGAAAGTCAAAAATACTTGAAATGAATTAAATTTCCATAAAATTTGTGGATTATTGTTTTATTTATTATATTTAAAAACTAAATTTTATATTAAAATTGTTTAATAATAATTTCATGTTGCAATTTTATTAGGTATATAATTTTCATAATCAAAGATTTTGAAAAATAAAAATGGAAGAGTAATAGTAGAATTAGATGAATAATTAATGGAAGTAATAATAAATGATTATTCCTTACATCAATAAATAAAAAATGAAACATAATAAACTCAATTAGATGAATAAAAATTTCAAAGAAGAATTGTTCCCTTCTTCTTAAACTAATTTATGCATTGGGCAAAATAAATGGATTATAAGTAAGTAGAATGTTACTTGAAAGTAATTCATAATCGTAAAACTTCAAAATAATAAAAATGGGAATTAGGAGATTTACAAAAAATATTTGGCCCAATTAATTCAAGAACCAGATGTATATAGATTGAAACTTAATAAAGATGGAAAGAATTTTTAGATTAATAAGCTGAAATGACTGTTATAATGAATAATAAAATAAAAGATTAACAAACTAAAAGGAAATATATAGATGCAATACCTTAATTAAAATAAGAACTTGATAAAAAAAATCCTTATCATAGATTTTTAAGCATCTCATTTAACCCTAAAATTGATTACAAAATAAGCACAGAAACCTGTCTTGATGAACACAATCAAAAAGATTTTGAGTGTTTTATTGAGAATTCAGATTAAGAATAAGATAGACTTTTCACTTCCTTTATCGAAGACGATAAAGAATCTATTTGAATATATATTAAAATGAATAATTTTAATACTGTCATCTGACGTATTATTTATCAATTATATTTTTCTTAATTTAGAATTAATATAATTATGTAATAAATCTACAAATATAAATCAAAAATAATAAAAATAATAATAATATTAGTTTTCAATTTATATATTTATATATAAGCCTTATTTGTGGATAAATTATAATA